TTGATATTGCTGTCGTCGGCGAAATCGCTTTCGATGTCGATGACGATGGCCTCCGCCTTCATAAAGATGTCGGTCATGACGACAAGTCCAATGGAATCTGCCAATTGCCCACTTCTCAACAAGTTGGACAGTCTTCACAGTAATAAAATCTGATTTTCCGAATAAAACCCAATTTTGTTCGATCTCAAATAATCGGGTTTTATATTAAAACCTGAAAAATCCCGATTGCAAAACGCCAGGGTCTGCCACCCTTGATATTTCTATATTGAGTCATTGGACAGATTTCCTAAGATATTTCCTGTGAACATCGTATGGAACCTTCATCAGATCTCGCAGGGATATTTACTGCCGAAATATTCCGGTGAGGTCTACCCACAGGGATGACAAATTCACACAGAGCAGCCAAAAGAAATCTCTTTCTGCGCACTCCAGCGATCCGATGAGCGACGTAGAAGGAAGCAAGCGTAAGACAGTGTACCGCTTCACCACTCAAGTAGACATAGACCTTGTTAAGGAGGCCATGTTTGTATGCCCACATGATGCTCCGTATGGGCAAGCTTCAGCTCGATGGGAAGAAGTAGCCGAGTACATGAGAGTTTTGCATGGCCCCGACTTGACGACACCGGGATGCCGAAAACGCTCGATGATCTTATTGCGGCGTTCAAGTAGGACACTGTGAAGTCATTGTGAACATCAGGCACCGAGGAGGAATACCATGAACGGGAACAGCTCCTTCGGGAATTTTTGCAGACATAGTGTGTAGCCTTATTCGGTTCGACTTCACAAAGCTGCTGTCACGGGGCTCGCTTCTAGTGGAAATGTGGTGGACACTACACCGTCGGGTGGAACGGCTTCAAAGTGCTGGATATGCTCGTGCACGATTGCCGCAAACAGTTGTTGATGTGGGCGGCTTGGGTGTCCTTGGCTCGTTTCAAGTCGCCTTGGACGCTCTGGGGCGATGCGTTACAAGTCCGTTCTCTGCGCTTTGACTTGATGGGTGACGAGGTAGCACCAAGCCCAGAGGTAAAAAGCCCACATGGCTTGGCTGGAGTTGCCAACGCTTAGGAGGTCGAGGGCTCGGTCAGCGAGAAAACAGGTTCGAACTCACCCTTCTTACCTTGTGCCCATTGAGGGCTGCCTTCTGTAACTTATTGCCCGGCCTGCATATCCCGTGGACCCTACCGTCGATGAATCCGATGCATTCTCCAGCGGGGACCCGGCGCGATGAATGGCCCCACTGTTCGTTTCATCCACTGGCCATTCAGTCTTCTGTGGTCCCAACGGAGCAACCAGGAGAACTTGGCGTGAATGTGCTGCGTAAACGAGTTTGCAATGCAATAATGGGCTTCTCGACTCCGAACAAAAGTTTCCGTCATTGAGCCAAGGCGGTGCTGACATGCCAAGCGATTCAGAAGAATGCAGAGATACTCGAGGGCGGACGCTTGGTGCCTGCTCGGAGTTACGATAGGGTCTGGGATGCGAAGTAGTTTGATTAATGATGTCGCACTGAATGAAGAGGCAGTCTTCCTCGGTCTGGGCGGCAAAGTCAAATTGATTGCTTGGGATGAAAATTGCACAGGAAGTTTGGGCCACCCATGTAAATAGGAGTCTAGCAAGTGGCAACAGCAGGGTCGCCTCGTCGCTCATTCTAACCTGGCGACTGAAAATTTCCCTGTGGCGATATCTCTACTCCACAAGATATGTCGTTTGAGACTCTTTGTAAATTCTTGCAGGGAAAATCGTGAGAATTCTTGTTGCGAAATCAGTCTATTAACATCACTGAGGAACCAAAAGGCAACACTATGGTCAAATCATCTTTCTAATTTCGTATCTGGTTAGTATTATCTATAGCACGCAAGGATCTATCAATAGAAAACTCTAAAACCAAGTACGGGAAACGCCGGAAAACCTTCCACCGAGGTTCTGATCCCTGCCTATGTCACATTAATGTCCTTGAGCAGTACAATCAATCATCCAGATTAAAAAATTAATTTTTGGCTTATCGCATTTTATATTGCCCACATGATAGTTGGGTATACAGGAAAGAACGACGGAAATCCTTCCCCCGTGGTACTAGAAAAATATCTTGAAATTTGTACAGGGCAATAATATTTCAAAGTTGGGGTTTGCTGGACATTTTACTACATTGATCTTTTTCAGTTGATGAGGACTGCGTTGGTATGGTCAAAATTTTGGAATTTCGAGTCAATGAGTGCTCGCGACCAAGTTAAAAGTACGCCTAGTACATTCATAACTAGTTAATATTTCAAGAAAACCAAACCGTCACTGAGACAGTGCCTTCGTGGACGTGATTGAAAACCCCACAAGGCATTTCTTCCCCATTGGCAATCCTTCGCTGTATCATGGCTAGCCTCTTCTCGGCTGTGAACACCACACAGCCATGTCTGGTAGACCAGCTGGCTCGTCAGATGGCCCCGCGTCCAAAGAATGAATCGACCGGTCATATTGTCTCACACAATATTTTTAACTATGTATTTTGTATTGGAGTATGCCTTGCATCACTCAATATTTCTAGTCACACAATTTGGATAATAACTACAGGACAGCGTTTTCACTGCTGGCAAACCAATGTTACACGTCATCACGGGAGTTGTTAATGCATCTTATGGGAGCAGTCTACGGTTTTTCACATCCATTTTGCGCAAAGTTGGCGTACATAGTTATTCAAAACAACGAACCAGATATTTCTGTCGTTGTGAGTAAACACTCAAATCAATGGGGAAAGTAGAATGTGTGTTTTGACTTAATTAATGATTGAGTGAACTTGTCTTCTTTGAGCGATAAGATGAAAACATTTTTAGTCTGGTGCGATATTCGAGACGTTGCTGAAATTAGATTGATA